TTGTCTCTTTGACGAGTTGTTGTGTGCTGCTAAGAATGGCGATACTCACTGACGATGCCGACTACGATGCTAGCGAAACGTTTGGGAATGTACAACGTCCACGGTTCAACTTTGGAAATAATCATGGAGACAATGGACCCCGGACTAGGTGCGTTCCAATAAGTCTTCCTACCAATATGAACATGTTGCGAAAACAAGGTCAAACAACAAAAATATTAAGTTAACATGATAATAGTGGTAGAATTGCACACTGAGTAGTCACTTGTCAGATTTCCGACCTCAGCACATAAGCAAGGCAATTTTAGGGCTTTGTTTTTTCTCCATGCACAGTATTTATCTGTTTGATGTAGAATTCATACTTTCCAATACTAGGGGTATCATAACTTTTCTTATTTTGGTTTTGTCACTCATCTTTCTGTCCTGATCTATCTATCTACTCTTTACCCTCTTATCCCATTGCCGCCCTATCACAACCTCTCACTTGTTTACATTCCAGTCATCAAAATGTGTGCCTTTTTGTGGAAATTCTAGTGTAGCCTCATCACACTTGCTATTTACCCATCTCTTTTGATCGGCCGATCCGACTGAAGCCTCCAATCCGGATCCCCTCATTGTCTCGTAGATCCGTTCCTTATCTTTCTGCTTAACCAATTTCACTCGGTTCCAGTCCCTGTGTGAATTTCACTCCAGGCATTATTTCTCAAGGTCCTAGAGGCATGTGCGCTGCCACCTCACTAAGCAGAGGACCTCAGCTCTGATTCGCATTCTTTCAGATATTAGGCCTTACTTTCACGGGTCCTCTCCTTGATTGAACCCATATTATCTGAGCAAATTGTGGACGCTTATCTCTGGTCGCATACGGAATCTCAAGTGGATTTCTAGTGCATTTTGGCCATAACTGCAAATTTCCATGACGGTTCGCTTATCAGTCTGCCCAGCTCCCTTACTGCCAGGCCTCCAAGGTTGCACTGGTTTAATCGAAATCGACATCACTCACTAATAACGTTTTCGCTTTATTGTTGAAAACCCCTTCCCCCCACTTTCTTTATTGCGATTCCTTTACGGTAGATTCTTAATCCAAGCGTTTCCTTTTTGCTGATCTTGCTCAATTCTTGTTTTCCT